GTCCTGCCCACCTCTGCGTGCTGGATTGTGTATAGCTGGTGCATATCTTCATTGTAATATCCATGTCCCGGCCCTTCCCCGGCCTCACTTGGTTTTATTTTGAGCCTCCACTTCCCACTGTTTCCTGGGGCATGAGTTTCCGTACGCGTCCCACAGGAGCACAGCGGGGAGAGGAAGGGGAAGGGTGGGGAAGGAGACAGGCCTTCTCTCAGGCCCAGTGGCTGGTCGGCCACACCAGGGCATCCCAGCCAATAAACCGAAAGTGTTACAGCCAGTATCCTGTGCCAAATGCTGTCTGGGACATGGTGGGAGGGGGTGGGGGTGTCTCATTCCAGATGTGCAGGCTTGCTGGAGTGGCCCACAGCCAGGACATCTGGCCTCCCTGGCTGCCCTTCCTCCCTTCTATTTAGGACCCCTGCGGGTGTGATTTCACACTTGGGCACACACAAACACAGCCACCTCGCACACTTCAGCCTGCAGGCGGGCGCACCAAATGCACACACTGCACAGCCCTCCCACACAACGGGAGGGGTGGAACATTCTGTAAGAGGCTCTTTCGTGGAGAGGGAGGAGGTATGGAATAGGGGAGAAGCGTGTGTTTGTCCATCCGGTGTCCATCTGGGTTTTCTGTCTCTGTGTCTAAGAAAGGGGTGTGTGGGCTGCGAGGGTGTCCAACCAGGGAACCTCACCAGGAGCCAGAAAACTGGCATCAGCCAGAGCAGACCCGTTAACTAGAGCCTGCCACCCTGAAGGTCAGGCGTGGGTCCTCTTGTCATGGAGACAAGAGCCAGACGCTGAGCAAACATTCCAGCTCTGGCCCCCTCTCCCGCAGCGACTCAAGGTTGTGTCTTGTCTGGCCTCCTCCTTCCTGCTATTGCCTCCCTCCCAGCCAGCCCAGAGGCGCAGACCTGTCTCCCTGAGGCCAGAGGGAGAGAAACCATATCCCTGCTCCTTCCCTTCAAAGGAGTCTCTCTCTGCCTTTTCTCTACATGGATCTCAGGGGGAAAGAACCGAGGAAGAACCCAGCTTCTTACACTGAGGCTGCCACCCTCAGCTTCCGGGGAGATCGACAGCCTGCTCCAGGCCCCAGGGCGCCCTGAGGGCCTTCAGTGGGGCTGTAGTTCTTTTACTGGCTCCAAGCTCCTCCCTATAGCAAGGGCAGGTGTTGTGCCAGATAGAGAGACTATGTGCGGGGACCCATGCCCAGGAAGCAGTAGGGCATGGTGCACCCCACACTGGCCCTTTAAACAGCAGTGGGAACCAGACCCATTACTAGCATCTGATTGCATACAGTTCCCCCTCCACAGTCAGGGTGCAGCCCTGTCCTCCAGCCCTGACCACAGGTGGACAGGGCTGAGCAGATGGCAAGCCCCCCAAACTGTTGGAGCTGCCTGGGCATCTCACCCAGACACTTTGCCAGCCAACTTGGCATCAGCTCCTCCATGGCCAAATTTGTAGTCAGTGGTCACAGCTCCCTTCACCAGCCCTCCGGGTTCCTCTGAAGCTCGGAGGACGCACTCCCAGGTCACAAGCCACAGGTACAGAGGGAACCGAGATCATAACTCCGTCTAGACTGTGGGGCTCCAGCCCAGAGTCCCTGGTTCTCCACCTCAAACAGGGCCTCTGAATAAACACCACAGCTGGGGCAGCTCAGGATCGCCCTCTGCAGCCACCCTGGGCACCAGTCCCGAGACCATCACCACCATAGATTCGGACCCTATAATGACTCAGGGGCTCGGGCTGGCAGGTTCTCCAGTCTTCCCTGGGCGCATCTTCAGAGGCTGCCACCAGGCAGTGGAGGCTGCCTAGGAGCTGCCTGCAGGCCACTGATACTCCACAACTTAATGTGTTCTCAGGGCCCAGCTCACCCTCCCCTTCTGGCTGCTTCGGGTTCTAAACTAGACCAGCTTCAGTGCAGCCGCCCATCCACTCAGGTGGTCCCACGTGGGAGGAAGGCACCCTCGCTCTTCCAACTGTCTCCAAGCCCCCGAGGACCCTGGGTTTCCCTGGATCCTGAGTGCACGACCAGTGAGAGAGCGAGGATGGACCTGCCCGGACTGTGCTCCCAACCCTGGCACCCAGGTTGAGATGACCGCATAGCCTGGAGCTTCCGACTCCTCCCGCTGGGAGCACCTCTCTGGCCCGAGAGGACAGGATGACAGCACGAGCCGGCAGTCAGCAGACCTGGCTCTGCCAGGCTTCGCCCTGTGACGTTGGCCAGCTGCCCCTCTCTGGGCCTCTGCTCCCCCAGCCTGTTGCCTTTGCCCAGCAACCTTTCCTGCCACAGGCAAGGAGAAAACCCAGGGCCCAGGCTCCCGGCAGCCAGAGGACTGGGCCAGGCTCCTGAGGCCACTGGGATCCTCAGCAGCAGTGGGGGCTTGCAGGGCCCTGCACTGCCCCTCGCTCCTTTTTCTCTCTGATTCTGCCCCCACTCCCACCCCCCTCCCCCCAGCAAATTTGAATGCAAACACAAGCTCTACCATTTGGTGGCTTTGTGCCCCTGGGTGAGTCACTTCACCGCTCTGAACCTCGGGTTCTTTATCTAGACACAAAGGATGATGACACCTCACAGGGTTTCAAGGAGGGAATGAGATAACCTTTGAAGACAGCCTGTAGATGGGCCTTCTTTTCCTTTCCTCTGCGGGACAATTTTCCGGTTCCTGGACCACTCCTTTCCTATGATAAAAGGAGACTTCTGGCACACAAGTTTCTAGGTGGGCATCAGGAGCGTAGCACAGAACTACTGTCAGAAAAGACGATGCTTAACCCACAGCAAGGCGGGGCTCACAGAGCAGGGGACATATTTCTGGCTAGCCTTTCTGGGCACCTCCCAAGTCCCACCCTGTGCTTGACTGTCCCTACACACAGGGCTGACTCTAGAGTCCTGGAAAAGATTTGCTGCTCCATTTTGCAAAAATAGTAGTGCCCGACGGGGAGAGGGGCAGAGGGCAGCCAGATGTTTTCCCCAGAGAGCCACGGGGCCCCTCACCCAGCCTCCTGTTGACCAGCCCCCTTCTCCTGCTCCAGCCCCCTCCTAGCCCCACATCCTCCCTGCCCCCATCCCAGGAACATCTGGTTCCAATCTCCTCCAGATGCTGTGGCCAAGCTGTTTTATAGCCAATCACCTCAGCTCAGCTTCCTGAAGGCCTCCCTCCACTTTGGGGAATGGTCCCTTCTTGTCCCTCTCCCTGGGACCCCAGCCACCTCTTTTCCCAACATGGATAAGAGACACATACTGAAGCCAGATGCAACTGTGAGGGTTCTCCGAGCAGGCACATCCCTTCCCGCTATGTGTGTGGGGGCTGTACTCCATCCAGGATTCACAGAAAGATGCTGGCCCGGGAGGAAAGGAATGGGCAGGGAAGGAGGCGTCTGGGAGTGTGTGTGTGCGTGTGCGTGTGCGTGTGTGTGTTGGGAGCGCTAGTGCATGTGGTTATGTGTATATGTTGGCCATGTCAGAGGTGCCCCTTGGTGGCCACCACCTCATTTTCCCTCCCTTCCTCCCCTGGAGCAGGGCTAGCTCAGGGCCCCTGCTGTATACAGAGGCAACTGCAGCCCAAGGTTGTCCTCGCCTTTCGGCTCTCTGTGGCCAGCAAGGCTGTCTTCTAAATCAATACAGCTCAAGGAGGGTGTGTGAGTGTGTGTGTGTGTGTGCTCCCGTGCAGGCCTCTGTGCAGACTCCTCCAGATGCCCTGGCCCAGAGTGGTCTGACGGCACCTCTAGCAGCGCAGGGCAGGCGTGGCGGAGAGCAGCTATCTGGAGAGAGGGAGGAGGAGCGACTGTCTGGAGGAAGCCTGCCCATGCGCTCCCCAGCCCCGCCCACCCTGCCTCACCTGGCCGCCTGCACTCCCACTAAAAGGATGCTGGAAGCCAACCTCTCCTCCTAAGAAACCCAGGAGGAGTCACAAAAGGAAGACTGAAGCCTGAGCCTCTCCTCTGGAGGACGCTGAAAACCCCTAGGCTCCCGGCAGGAGGTAGGGGCTCCTGCTCAGAGGTGAAAGGCTAGACCCTGGTGCTCACTCCTGTCCTGGGAATTCCAGATGCCAGCTGCTTGCTGCCCCAGCCCTTTAAATAAGCCTCCTGGGCATTTTCGACTCCACAGCGCCCCCTGGTGTTTTCAGGAATTAGGACGGCCTTGGTCGGCCAGAGGAGATCCTTGCCAGGGCCACTGTGTCTGAGCCCGCCCTGCTTGTGTCTTACCGTCTCAGGTGACCCTGGCACACAATAGGGGACACAGGGCAGTGACATGAGAAGATGCCAGCTTCTGATTCGATCCTGGCCACTGTCATCGACTGACTGTAAGACATGGGCAAGCCTTTTAACTTCCTCGTGCTTCAGTTTCTTCATCTGTTAAATGTGAATACGGCACAGAGCCACTGTGAAGACTAAACAAGCTGATGTAGGAAAGCACCTGGCGAGATGCCTGACACATAGTAGGCCCTCAGGAAGTGGTCTTTGCCCTCCTTCCTAGCCTTAGGCGGTTCGGTGACACATGCTCATTGGCCCTGAGCCCGGCAGTGTCAGGGAGGTGACTCTAATTTTTCTGGAGCTTTTCCACTCCAGCAGAGGATCATTTTAATAAGCCCATAATAATAGACAGAGAGGTGACTCAGATCTGCCAAAGAGGAGCCCTGCTGGGGAGGGGACAGGGCTTGGGGTGGGGGGATGGAATTCAGTGGCATTTGGGTCTGATGCTGCAGTGGGAAGGGCTCCAAATGGGGGACCTGGGCACCTTGGTTAGGCCTCCAGATTGGTACAGATTCTCTCCTAAGAGGCCTCAGTTTCCCCTTCTGCAACATGCAGGGCAACTCCACATGACCTCCAAAGTCCCTTCCGAGCAGGAGATGTGGCTCTGCTTCCGGAGCCCCGCATCCCGCAGCAAGATTTGGAGCACTCTTGGAGACAATTCCCGGCGGCCTGTCCTTGGGGGCAGGCCCATGTGTGCTCCTCCGTGACGTATGATTTGCCTACCCGCACTCCCAGAGTCCAAGGAGAGGTGGGGCTCTCAGGCCATGGTGGCTTGTTTATTGGTACACATCGCAAGCACAGCACAGGCAGGCGTGCCCCAGGTCAGGGCAGACACGGGGCCAAGGGAGGGCAGCGGGCCACCGCACAGCGATGCTGCCAGCAGAGGGGGAGAGGGCCTGAGGGCCATGTCCTCTCCTACTCCATGCATCTCCCAGGTCCCCAGACCTGATCCATGCCACAGAGACAGCTGACCACACCACTCCCTGTGGCTACAGAAGAGGCGACCAGCTGTCCCACCTGCCCCTCACTGAGACATGGCCTTATTGGCCTGCGGCCCCTTCTGTCCTTCATCACAGAAATCGGGTTGTCATTATGGAGGCTGTTCTCCTCCATCTGACATCACCCCCATCATCCCCAAACAGCTAGCTGCCTCCATCAATACCTCCCCTCCTCACCCACCTGGTCTGCTTGTCTCAGGGGGTCTACCCTCACCACCGTGGTGACCCGTACAAAAGTAGGAAAACAGGTAAAAATGCTGTTAGGTCCAGGAAAGTCTTCAACAGGAGCTCCCCAGGGAAGGGACTCTCCAACAATAGGCTAAAGGGGGAGTGCAGACAGTGCCAGTGGGCGGGGGCGACAGGCAGGTGGCAGGGAAACCACAGTCCAGATCACACACAGAGAGCTAGCAAGTTCACAGCCAGGCGGGTGCCGGGCTCTGTGGGCAAGCCCTCAGGTCTACTTCCACACCAGACCCCTCAGGACAAGAGGCGACCCACTCCCAGCCCAGAAAGGGAAGGGGTCCCTCTGGGTCTCAGGGGTCTCTTTCCCCCTCCTCGACCCCAGTAGCTGCCATTCCAGACTCCAGTGCTCGGGGCAAGGGAGAAGATCCTCTAGATCTATGCTATCTCCAGAACAAAGGACAAATTCCAACAGCCTGGATGCCCCAAAGCCAAGAGAAAAAAGAGGGCCCCTTTCTAGAGCGCAGGTGCGGGGGACAGCTCTCCCCATGCAGGTGCCGAGGGGCAGGAAGACATGGGTGTGCAGGCGACTATTTATAGAGGGAAGGCCAGGTCTGGAGTAGGAAGTCCCCAGGCCCAGCTGAGCAGGGAGGGGCACCCTCTGGTGGTCCTGAGTGGGGTGGGTGGGGCTAAGGAAGGGCACCCCACAGGTCTGTGTCCCCTCGGGAGGCAGGCAAGCTACATGTGGGCTTTGGCCTAGAGAGGCTTTCCCGAAAGAGCCCAGAGGCTGCAAGTCTCCGTGAGATGGAGGCCTGGAATGAAGCGAGAAATAGCAGGACGGGGACATCAGAGGGAAGAGGAAGTCTCCAGGAACCCACCCCCTGCCCCCACCACCTACTGAAGCCAAGAGCCTGTTCAAGTCTACCAGGCATGGGTGGGCCACGCCTACCAGGGGGACCACCCTCTGTTACCTCTAATGCCAAGAGAAGCCAAGAGCCTGTTCAAGTCTACCAGGCATGGGTGGACCACCCTCTGTTACCTCTAATGCCAAGAAGAGGGGGAGGGGAGCTGACAGTGTGGAGAGGGTAGGGGGGCAGGAGAGAGAAAGCCAGCTCCCTGAACTTACGTCACCCACCACCACCCGCCTGTCGTTTCTCCCTAGCCCCCCAGCTCTCCCGGAGTCCCTAGCGGCCCACACTGATGTTGCAGGTCTTGCAGCTGGGGTCTTTCTTGGCGTCAGCAGTGGACAAGCTCATGAGCTGGTGGCCACTGATCTCCCCCAGGGTGCCCAGGGACAGGTCGACGGGCTCAGTGTAGATGATCTCCAGGATGAGGTCCTGGGCGTGGCGGAAGACCAGCTCCCCATCCTCCACGCTGCAGGTCAGGAACTTGTTGCAGGCAATGTCCAGAAGGGGCAGGCGGTCTCGGCAGAAGCGGTCCCCCAGGGAGCCCTTGGGGGCCAGCACCAGGATGGCGTAGTGGTAGGCTGTGTACATACAGTAGAAGTCCGCAAAGTAGAGGTTGGTGCTGGGGTTGAAAAGGCGCTGGGCAGGGATCTGGAAGCGCCAGCGGCCGTAGGGGGAGTCTTGTGGGGGCTGGCCTGTGTTGAACTCCGTGTTGCAGCTGAAGAAGACCCCGTGGAGCATGCCGCTGGTTGGGGAGCCGTGGCTGCCGCTGTTGTCCTTCAGGTAGGTCTGCAGCATGTTCCCGCAGTGGGTCCTACCCATTCCAGGGACAATGCCAAAGGGAAGAGAAAATGCCACTGGTTAGCTGGGCTGAGCTTGGCTGCTGTGTGTGGTGAGAAGGGAGCCAGCCCAGTTCCCAGCTCTCCCACCAGCCACCGCCTCCACCCATCACAAATAGAACGTTCCCGAATGCGAGAGCGGGGAGGAGATGGGCCGATCCAGCCCACTCTTTCACAGAGGAGAGGCCTGGACCTGCTGTTCCCCGCATGAGGGAAAAGCAAGGCCATCACAATCTGGTCTTTCTGGCCCACCTCTTACCACCCCTACCCACAGGTGACAACCTCTAGCCACAGGGGAATGCCACCCCAGCTCTTTCCTGCCTCTGCATTTGCAGTGCTCTGCCCTCTGCCTGGACTTCCCTTCCCACTTTCTCCACCTGGCCTGGCAAACACTTATTCATCCTTCAAGGCCCAGCATCGGTATCCCTTTCCCTCTAAAACCTTCCAGGAACATCAGGCACTTGCACTCAACAAAATTTTGATTGTCTGCTATGTGCAGGACACTGAGTTTTACTCAGTAATCACACACACTGATAGCATTCCATCTGTCCGCACTGTCCCACAACAGACAGGGTTTCGAGGGGATTCTGCCTTTAGTCCTCTTTATATTCTGGCACACATGGTGCTCTCTGTCTCTTGCCCGCTTTCTGATAGAGAAACCCAAACAGGGCCAGTGCCCTAACCACTCACCTCACTGTCTCTCTTCTTTAGTGCAAACACCAGAGGCCCTCCAGGCCCCCACAGCCCTGGGCTAGGGTCAGAGTGACACCATGATAAAGACAGACAATACTGGTGGTGGCTTGTCCTGGCCCAGCCTTAGGACATGGACTTGGAGCAGTGTCAGTAGTCATGGGGGGATGGGCAGCCGCTGGTCCAGCCTCACTCTTGCTTGGTCCTGGCTGTCCTAAGTGACTAGTGAATTGCTGGCCCTCTGGGTCTCAGGCTCCCCATGTGTCGGCTGAAGGTGTTAGATGACATCACGATTGGATCAAGAATTTTCAATGTGGAACCTCTCTCTTTTTCCCCAAAGGGAATTATACATAGGCGGGCCGTAGGCAATAAAATTGACGCTGCTCAGGTTGAATGCTAGGTGTGAGGTCCACCTTGCAGTTCCTCAATGACCCCTCAGCACCACCCTCAGGGCTGCCTGAGACACACCCTGGAACCCCCAGGCTCCCCAGCAGACAGTGTGAAGAGCACAACCCTTCATACTGGGAACCCGCTCACACTCTGTGCCCCCCTCACCACCTCCCCTTCAGACCCAGGGCCTGAATTGGAGAGATACCTGCCTTTCACAGGACAGGAACTGCCTCAAAGGAGGATCCCACCTGGGTCATCACTCGCCCAGGCCTGTTTTCACAGGTGCCCCAGGCAGCTCTATCCTGAGTGCTCTCTGCTTTCCTGGAGCTCAATCCCAAGCCACCAGCCCCCCCACCCCCACCCCCACCCCAGTCAGCCTGTGGTGGAAGGGCATGGCGACTCTGTGCAGAGGATCTGGCAGGTGACAAGGTTGAGGTCTCATCAAACAGCCTGGGCAGCTGAGGCAGAGCTGGGGGAGGGAGGAGGGACCCGAGGGGCCTGCAGGGCTGCACGCACCTGGCGTGCTGGAAGTACTCCTTGTGATGGTTGCGGTAGAAGACAGAGAAGCGCAGCATGCGGCCCGCGATCTGCTCCGCCTTCTCCTGCAGCTGCGCCAGGTGCTCCTTGGCATAATCTGCAAGAGTGCAGATGGGTGAGCGGCGGCCAGGCAGGGTCACAGCCCCTCCCCCTCCCTCCCCCACAATGTGAATGCCAACCCATCTCTGTGCTCAGAGCAGCAGGGGACACCAAACGTTCACAGCATCTTGGACCACGTGGGAATGGGCCAGCTGGAGGCTGTCTGTCCTCATCACCTCTGCACCCTCAGTGCCAGAGGCTCAGGACTCTCTGCTCAGACAAGAGCCGGCCCTTATACAATACAGCCCCTGGGGCTGTCATCTCAGGCTGTCCTAGGCCTCATGTGAAAGGACCAGCAGGCAGATGAAGGACTGAGAGGGGGAGGTTTTGAGGTCCTTTAGGGAGAGCCCTCAAACCCAGCAGGTCAGAGGCTGCCCACACCACTCACGGGGAAGCGAGTTGTCATTACAGGGGAGACTCCTGGAGAGCCTGCCGAGACCTGAGGTGAGTGTTTAGGTGGACCAGGTCTGGGGCGAGGACTCTACTTCGTATCCCAGGAAAAGCAGAAAAGCATGGAAACAAGATAGTGTTTCCATGAGCCTGGCTTTTTGCTTGTTCATGCATGAAACTGGACCCTCCCCCGGGCCAGGCCCAGAGCCCAGAGCCCAGAGGCCCCGGCAGAGTGCTGCTAGCCTCGACAGCGCCTTTGTGCAAATTAGAAAAGGTGCCCTTTCCTCCTTGCTGATGCAGCCCTGGCCAGGGTGCTGGGTTTGGCAAGAGGAATATGGACTGGACTGCTGCCACCCCAGCTCCCCTGTTTGAATTAAATTCCCACCACACGTAGAGTTCTGGGGTAAACTAAGAGGCTTTCCCCACGGCGAGAGGGAGCACCTTCAGAGAGTGGGGTGTGCAGCTGAGCTAAGAAAAAGCACCACTCAAAAGAGAACAGCAGCTCAAGGACACAGCAAAGGGCACAGACCTTGACAGAGGGTGGAGCCAGCCGCCTCGGAGGCCCAGGGCTAAAACTGTCCCCTGCCCCTTCCTTGTGACAGAGGGAGATCTGGGGCAGTTCTCACCATGGACACCAAAAGAATAGAATACTGCGGGGACAGAACCTGGGTCATCAGTGACCAAGTACACTTGAGCCTGGTTTTTTGCTTGTTCATGCTGGAATTTCCAAGCTAAGTTCTGCTATGAGAGTTTGTGGGACTGCTGAATAAGGATCATTTTCTCAGGCTAAGTGGAGGCTTAAGATGAGCAAAATGTGATTGCTCCACGAAGCATCCAGCGACCAATGATTGCTAAAACGCGGTCTAGCCACACAATGTGATATTATTCCACCTTAAGAAGGAAGGAAATTCTGACACATGCTACAACACAGATGAATCTTGAGGTCATGATGTTAAGTGAATAAGCCAGTCACAGAGGGACAAATAATGCGTGATTACCCTCACAAGAGTGGTCAAATTTAGAGAGACAGAGAGTAGAATGATGGTTGCCAGGGGTTGCAGTGAGGGGGGAGTGGGAGGTGTTGTTCTGTGGGTATAGAGTTCCAGTACTGGAAGATGAAAAGTTTTGGAGATTAGTTACATACCAACATGAATGTACTTAATACCACTGAACTGTGCACTTAAAATGGTTAAGATAGCAACTTTTATGTTATGTGTATTTTACCACAATTCAGAAAAACATGCTTGCCCCAAGCCAGAAAAGTGACTCCTTCCCTTTATAGAAATGACGTCATCACCATGATTAGTAGTGCTCACATCTGCCTCCTGTATTACATGCTTAGTGCTCACATCTGCCTCCTGCATTACAGGCTTTGGGGGTGGGGGTCGGTGGGGGAGGGCAGGGGCAGGTCTCATCTACTCGTGTTTCCCTAAAGGCCTAAGCCTGGTGCTGGTGTACAGCAGGTGGTCACAGTATCTGCTATGTTAAGACGAAGCCCCTTTGCCCAGCCAGTGTGGCTTAATGGTTAAACGTCAACCTCTGAACCAGGAGGTCACGGTTTGATTCCAGTCAGGGCACATGTCGGGTTTTGAGCCCAATCCCCAATAGGGGGCATGTAGGAGGCAGCCAATCAGTGATTCTCTGTCATCATTGACGTTTCTCTCTCTCCCTTTCCCTTCCTTTCTGAAATTAATATCTACATATATAGAGAGAGAGATATATAGAGATAGAGGTATACCAGTAGATATAGACGTAGACATAGATATAGATACAGATATATAAAAGATTTTTTAAAAAGACGAAGCCCCCTCCTGACCATAACTAAACCGGATGCACAAAAGCACAGACCGGCAGGGCCTCACCTCCGGTGCAGAACTCGACTGTCTCGCTCCAGCCGGACACCAGGTACTCCCCGTCGCTCTGCTTCACTGCAGTCTGCACCGCCACGCTGTACTCTGTGCGGGGGCTCAGGAACCAGTGGCCTCTCACCGTCATGGGCAGGGGCACAGCCTTGGCCACAAGCTTTGTGGGGACATCCTGAGACATGGGGTGCAGACCGAGAGCCAAGAGTCAAATTGGGGGTCATGCCCAACCTTGGCATTCCCTCAGACCTCCCCCCACCCCTTGCCTCCTGGAGAGGGCCAGAGTCTCAGTGATTCGATGGCCGGGTGTCCTGGCCACCAGGCTCCTGCAGGAGCAAGCAGTGGCCATTGGGAAGGCCACACAGACACTCCCCAGCCTCCACCATCCTTAACTGCCTGATGCCCCTTCTCTTGGGAACTAAGGAGAAAGGCCACTGGGGTGGAAGCCCACAAAGTTGAGGGCGGCCAGACCTCCGTTTTCGAGGGAGACTTCGAGAGCTCTGCACACTGCAGTGCCGTTTCCACGGCAACGGCCAATGCTGAGAAGCCAGGGAGGAAGGGAAAATATGCCTTATTCTTTTGGGAGGAGGTTAAGGGGGTGGTGTTGAACATTCACGTCACCGTGGCAACTGGCCTGCCAAAAGACACCCAGATCGGGGGAGCCAGTTCCAAAGAGAGAGGGTGAGTAACCCACATGATGCTGTCGTCGTGGGAACCAGCTTCTTCCCACCTCACTCTTCCCCTGCCTTTCCCCCAGCTTAGAAGATGGGAGCTTTCCTCCCACCCACCCCCACACCAGCTCTAACCCAGGAAAAGGACGCCCCAGCCAACAGGGGACTCTCTCACATGCATTTTCTAAACCCAGCAAACAGGCCAGAGGGCCGGGGCAGAGAGGATCACAGGGGCCTGAAGGACCCTGCAAAGGGCCCCACCCCTGCCCACAGCCCATGTTACCCACCAGTCCACAAGGCACCCCCAGGTGTGATGTCGTGGCCCGCCTGGGTTTTCCTGTCCTAATCACGATGCCGATAACGGTGTTCACTGTGTGCTGGGCCCTAAGCCAAACGGCACACAAACATTACCTCACAGATGCCTCTCACAAGCCTACAGGGGCTGCCATGATTATTATTCCCCTTTTGCCAGCAAAGGAACTCAGGCTCAGAGAGGTTAACTAACTTTACCAAGATCACACAGTAAGAAGAGCCTGGATTGGAATCAGGCCTCTCCAGCTCCCCACTGTCAGCTCCAGGCGTGCGTCATCCTGCCTCCCTTCAGAGCAGGTGTGAGGAAGACGCGCTCACCCGGTGCTTGAATTTGTTGGAGTTCTTATTCTCCTTCTTGTTGAGGTCGATGAAATAGTGGGTGACCCTCTCCAGGTCACTGTTCTCCATGGCCCAGGAGATGCGGAAGGAGTCACAGGTGATGTTATTGACCTCGATGCTGTGGGGAGTGGACAGCAGCTCCATGCTCCCTTTTGGTTCGGCTCCTGTGGGGACTGAGGAGAGGAAGCATCAGCACCTCCCGCCCCACCATGCAGTTTTCGGAACGTCTCCTCCCAATATTCCTTTCGAGGCGGGACCTGGAGGAGCCGTTATTTGCACCTGCCCCATCGAATCGGATGGAAAGGTTGCACAGGGCAGACTGGAGGGTAGGACTGAAGGTGGGATGGGCGTCCCCCGGGCTCTTGGCTCTCCTAAGAGGGGTCTGCAGAGCAGACGGCACCTGACAGGTGGCAGAGGCAGTGGGAACGCCGAGAACGCCAGGCGGGACAGATTGTCAGCAGATGGAGCCGAGGAGGGGGCCCTCAGCCAGCAGGCGTGAAAAGAGAAAGGGGTGGGGGTGGAGAGAACAGTGTGAGGCCCAGGAGAGACAGGAAGCACCCACCAAGGACATGGGTGTGAGGGTGCAGGCAGGAGGAGGACACTAGCAGCCAAGAGGCCAAGGGTGCAGGGCTCTGGGTGGTCAGGACCCCTCCTCTGGGTGGGGGCACTCAGCAGGGGTCACCACCACACAGGGCTGGGAGTGCAAGTGCACGTGGACCCACTGGTGGCGGGGGGAGTACAAGCTACAGACCTTCCCCCACCCATAACTTTTCCACTGTCGTTCTTTCCCTTCCACTCTTTTCCCACTGCTGTATATTCTTTCCTCTGGCACTTGATTCTCTTAAGTAATTAGTTTTACTTTTGATGCCTGTGGCAGGCTAAGTGCTGCTAATTTCACCAACAGCATCTCATGTAAGCTCCCAATAGGTAGGCATTATTATTACACCCATTTTCCAGATGAGGTAGCTGAAGTTGGGGGTACTAAGATGCCAAAGGTCACACAGTTAGAAAACGATTCAAGTTTGTCTGACTCTGGAGCACTCTACCCTTTACCGTTACGTGGAATTTGTGTTCCCGTGTGTGTGTGTGTGTGTGTGTGTGTGTGTGTGTGTGTGTGTGTGTGTGACATGACATGTGTGGCATGTATGTATGCACAGGTACACATAATTTTACCAATATTTAGTTTTCCTTCTCTGTCCTTTTCTTTCAAGCAATGGCATTTTCTCTCCCACCCCCCACCACTCCCCCTCCCCCCTGCACTTCTTCCCCTGGCTGCTCTCCCAGGTGGGAAGGACCACCGCTCTCACTGTGCTTAGCCGGGAGGCGCTGACTCTGGCCCTGACTTTGGCCTGGCTCACTGGAGCCCTGCGAAGTGGGGTGGGGAGGGGAGAGGGGAGGGAAGGGGCCGTCTCTGGGATAGGAGCCTGAGTGTAGGCTGGGCTTTCTCCTGGGACATCTGCTCAGTACCCAGTCGAGCTCATGCTTCCCGGTTCTTCCTCAAGCCCAGTCCCAGCACAGCTCAGATTTCTGGAGTGTCATCTCCTTTCTCCTCCTTCCCTCTTCTTCTCTTCACCCAGGCGCTAGGGTAAGGGTACCTTGTGCCTTCGAAAGCAGGTACTTCTATTTATAGCTTCCAGAAGATTCAACCCACACTTTCCTGTCAACGAAGCCTGCTCTGGAGCCTGGCACCTCTAAATTAACCTGTGGGCTGCCTGGGTGGCAGGCACAGGGCAAAGGATCTGGGTGATGGCCCTTACCTGTCCCAAGGTGTTCCCTGAGTCCTTGTTACATCTTAGCTTTCCACCCTAAAGTGTATGCCTGACTGCTGTGCGGTTCAGCCAAATGCCAGTGGGCCTCGTGAATCTCATGGTAGATAAGCATGGGGGTGCTACCAGGCCCCCCACAAAATAAAACAGATCGGGATAGGGTGTCTGGAAACAACTAGACAAGAAACCAGTTTGTAATTCCTGGGGACAGTTGTGAAGCGGTGAGGAGATGCCATCCTCTGAGGTCCCAGCGAAGAGCTCCCCAGCAAGACAGGCATGTGCCCCCACATACACACACACACACACACACACACACACACCAACACAGACATATGCCCACCCCAGGGAGGGCCTCGGTGGCTGTCTCCCACCCACATGGGATGCAGTACACGCCTACCCGGTGCGGGGGCACCTGCCGCAGCCTCAGTCCTCCTCAGTCTCCCAGAGACAGGACAGGGGTTTGGTGCTGAGGTGTCCAGGACGTGGGTCAGCCTTCCCCAACGACATTCTAGGAGAGCCGAGACTACTCCCACGCGAGACTGGGAGAGTGGCCATGAGTGACACTGGGAGATCAGGAAAGCCAGGGTGGGCCAAAGGTGGGCATGAACCCCAGTTCTCCAAGCCCAGATGACCGGGGAAGGGCAGGGTGTGAGAGACAGGTTGAGACAACACCTGAGAAACACCCACACTCCTGTGTGAATCCACCCTGAGACAAGCATTCACACACCCACAGGCAGGCAGGCGCGCGCATTCGAGCACACACACGCACACACGCACACACACACACACACACACGCACACATATATGCGCGCACCAAGTATGCCCACAGACAGGCTGCACACACCTCCTCAGACATTCTCACTCCCACCCCCTCCCCTACGCACCCAGGGACCTTCTGCCACTCTCCACATTCTAAGACTGCCCAGCAATTTCCCCTCCACTAGCTGTCACCTCCATACAGACCCTCACATGCTTAAGTCCACAGGCTCTCACACACACATATGTATGCACACCTTCTCACAAAGCTGTAATTTAAGGGGGGAACCATAGGCACCAACATGCATGCATGGCACTGACACAGGAGCCATGCAACCCATATGCCTGCTGGCTCCCATGTATTTTTATTTGCACACACGTCAACCTCTGCCCATATTCTGGTATTCGCCCTCAAGTCTTCTCAAGGCTCAAAGACACAGACTTTGAAAATATGTTTGTCTCTGGCCACACTCTGACAAAGCCGAGCCTTCATATGCCAACAGGTTTGCCTACCTACGCAGCTCTGCCCACAGACAGGGGCTTCTGCCCACACTCTCCACCTACCTACCCCCTTCTGCTTCGAGTCGCACCTCCCACATAGAAACCCTCCGTCACCATGTACTCCTACACACATGTCCACCCACAAATATACTGCTTCACACTGTCCCTACTGACACGTATTCACAGGCTACTCAGATAAGTGATCCCCCCACACATGTGCTTCACGTGTACAAGAAACGTATGTTCCTAGACATGCCACACAGCAGTTAAAACCCACACATGAACGTAAGTGCATGCAGACAGAACTATCTGCGCAGGCAAACCTCCAGTCTCCTCCCAAGCATGGTGCACACACTGCTATGATACCTTTGCCCATGCTCATTCAGAAAAGCACCACCGGCCACCCCACTGTCCCTGCTGGCATCGCTGACTGCAGCAGAATGGTCACGGGGTGACTAACTGTGGTGCCCTGGGGACAGGATCCAGCTGTTAACCCCTTGGCCAAGGGCCTGGGGGAAAGGGGACAAGGTCGTTGGCCCTGGCAATCCAGGCGGGCACTGCAAGCAGTGGCAGGACCCTCGTGCCCCCAGCTCCTAGCCCCTGGCCACCCAGGTCCCTCTCGGGATTGACAGCAGAGGAAGGGCACTCACCTGGCTCCACCAGGCTCTGCAGAGGGAGACCTGGGAGGGAGGGAAGGGAGAGAGCTCTGTGTGGATGGGCTCCCCAGGCAGAGGGGCAGCGGGCTGGATGCCCGGGTCACAGGCAGCAGCGCTCGCCGGCTCCTCTTGCTCCTTTCACGGCGGCGAAGGAGGCTTCTTCCATGCCCCACAGGCAGTCCCTGCTGCTCCGCAGCGCGCTGCTGCCCCAGGAGAGGCGATGTTCCCAGCCGAGCGCAAGGAGAGGCAAAAGCAAAGCGATGTGGAGGAGAGAGAGGCAGAGAAGACGGGAAGGAACGGGAGAGCCAGACCCAATCTGGCTCCACCAATGGGATCAGTGGCTGCCCAGCGTCAGGTGACAATAAGCAAGCTCGGTCCCTGCTCTCCTGGGCTGGTGGGAGGGGGAAAGGGCAGAAGGTCTGGAAGGGAGCAACGCGGATGTCTTCCGAGACAGCGGCGGTGGCTGCCCCCTTCCCCGTTTTCCCAGGACACGTGCCTTGGCAGAAGTCCCTCCAACACACCTCTCCTTGGAAATCTCTCAGTTGAATGCAGCCCCCAAACTTTAGGATGCTGGGAGAGGGTGGGGCTTAGCCCAAGGGCTCGGGAGCCTGAAGCAAAGATTCTGATTGGGGGAGGGGGTGGCTGTGAAGGGGCAGGATTCCGATGGGGTTTGGGAACCCGTAAGTGTGTGGGGTGGGGTGCGGTGGGGAGGCAGCGGTGTCGGTCTTAGTCTGGTTTCTTTCCTCTGGGCCTTTGGCTAATCCACAGCTCCATTTTCTTACCAACTCTATCAAGAGCTATCTTACAGAAGCCCAAGAGAACCCTGGTGGTCTAGGGAAAGTCTGACTGCTTAAGCAGAGAGAGACAAGAGAGAAGTGTGGGGCTGTGAAGGGTGTGCAGAAGCAAGAAAGTGGGGATGGGAGGGACCCACAGAGCTTGGAGTGCTCGGATTCTAGCCAACTATCTGGGCTCAGAGGAGCCAAGCCCTGAGCACAGTGGCCAGAGAGAATACTTACTGTCTACTGATAAGGATCCGCAGAAAATGCAGACCCTGTGGATGCCGCTGTGAAGAACCCGCAAGGAAATTTGAACCAAGCAACCAGCAGTGAGTACGTGCAGTGTGGAGAAGCATGGCCTTTGCAGACAGACAGATACGGTTAAAATTCTTGCTCTATTTAATAGAGTCTATTACTTTCTAGCTGGGTGGCGCTGGACAAGTTACTCAACCTCTCAGAGCTGCAGTGTCTTCGTCTGTCAAATGCAATAATCACACAAGTTTATTGTCATCACTGAATGAGATAAATATGTGAATCACTCAGCTCTGGGCCTGGGACACAAGGAGTGCCCAGAGCTGTTATCACAGCCATATCAGTAAGTGTCTGCCTGCCGGGAGCCCACAGTCTTTTAGGGGAGGAAGATGGACATTTAGAGACATGATTAGGAAACAAGAAATAGACAACTAAATTGCAGGGTACAGGTAAGAATTCTGAGAAGGAGGAATCAGGACCAGCTCCAGGGCACAGGTGGGGCCAAGCCAAGTGGAGACTTGTGGAAGCAGGAGCGTGGTGGGGGTGGGGAGGGCTTGGTGCAGGGACGGCAGTCAGGAGACAACAGACTGTGCGGGCAGGCCCTGGCGAGGACCTCAGAGAGCCCCAGGCGGCCTAAGCCCAGCATAAGGGACACGTACTGAGCGGGACTCAGGGGCTGCGGACATCAGCAGCAAAGGTTAGAGGAGGTGACAGTGGACAGAAAGTGAATAGTTCACTGAGAGCAGAGACCAGCAAAAGCCAATCCCACCCTAAATGGGTGTGGAGAACCCAAGCAAGTTTGGTCAGATCCCGAACCGCAGAATGCGGTATGGTATGTCACAATGAGGCGGGATTCAGCACTCCCTTGGCCAAACCTAATCTGAGATGGTGAAACCCGAAAAGATAAAAAACAGAATCTCATGGTGATGGCCAGCACCAGACAGCTGGGCCACAGTCTGTCCCTACGACCAACCTAAGGGGTGTGAGGAAAAGGTCAGGTTCTCTGCGCCTCAGTTTCCCCCTCTGTGAAAGGAAGGCCAGTCCCTGCACGTCTCTGCCTCCTACCTTGGCAGGATGGCATGTGGAGAGCTCATGAGATCATGTGTCCCGAGCAGTGAACAATGGCCCTCTGAAGGCGCTTTTGTAGAGCTACGTGCTGGCGTCAGGTGAAGGTACAGCCCTCCCCAGGTTTCTGCCTCTTCTTGCCTCAGAGGGTGCTCAGCAGATCACATGAGGAAACACATGGTCGGAAGAAAGCATAGCGTGCCAAACACAACTCCCTCCACATGAAACCAAACCACTGCCAAGAGGCACTGCTGCGGCAGTTTTATCTGTAATAACCTTTTATTACACAAGTCGTACGTGATCGCTGGAGAAAGATGAGATTTAATTCTAACAGTTAAGAGAAAATTAAAGTCGCTAATGCCCTTACAATTCAGATACAGGCAAATGAGATATATACCTTATTAACAAAAATAGAAAGTAGGAATCCTAATATATATATAACCTGCTTTTCTCAGTTAACAGGACCTTTTCTATTCATTGCAGTCTTTCTACAGTATTGTTTTCAGTTGCTGAATATGTTCTACTGTTAGGTCATACATTCCTTTTTGTGATTAAGTTCTCTTGCTTTTTCTCCATTCTAAATAACACTGCAATGAACATACTTATAGGACAGTAATGGCGAACCTATGACACGCGTGTCAGAGGTGACACGCGAACTCATTTTTTTTGTTGATTTTTCTTTGTTAAATGGCATTTAAATATGTAAAATAAATATCAAAAATATAAGTCTTTGTTTTGCTATGGTTGCAGATATCAAAAAATTTCTATATGTGACACGGCACCAGAGTTAAGTTAGGGTTTTTCAAAATGCTGACACGCCGAGCTCAAAAGGTTCACCATCACTGTTGTAGGAAAATCTTGTCTTGTGCCTTAATTATATTTCCAGTAAAATATTAAATAATATGGACCATATTTGAATACTGATTTAAACAAACTGTTACCAAAAAACACCCTATGGGACAATTGGGAAATTTGAATACTAACTGGATATTTGACAATATTTAGGAATTATAGCTCTGATGATATTTTATGGTTATTGTTTTTAAAGAATATCTTCCAGATTATATCATATTATGATATGACAATTTATATTAAATATTATAATATTTTGGATGAATAGCATGATAATCTGTGATTTGTTTAAAAATAATCAAGGTGAGAGTTGGGGGGGGGGGAGATAGATGACACAAGATTGCCAGGAGTGGATAACTGTTGAAGCTGGTACTCTGAGATTTAATAAGCTATTCTCTCCATTTTTGTGCTTGCTCAGAAGTTTCCATATTGAGTAATTTAGCTAAGCTATGGTGATGATAATAATGTTACAGAAAACCGGAGAAGAACCAAGCAACGCTTAGAGAAATGGAGTTACATTTATTATTATTATTATTACGCACAGGCCCAGAGGAAAATGTCTCTCCAATTCTGGGCCCCGTCACACAGAAAGTTTCCTGTATTTATACCTTCTTACCCTCTTTGTCTCCCAAATATGGGGTTCTGTTCCGGTCCCCTTTGCAAGTTCTTAAAGAGCCCCTATGTGCTGGGGGCTTTGAGACCTCAACCAAAGGCTTGGCCTGGTGCCAGCACTGATAACTTCGTCTGGGGAAGGTTTAATGGCCCCTGAAATGGGAGTAGTCTTATTTTCCTTATTATTTAAGTCAGCAAGCATTACAGAAGCCAAAATGCAGGGTTAAAATTTCAAACAGCAGTTTTTATAGAAGATGGATGCTTCAATAACAAAAGCACTTATGAAGCACCAAGACACAACGCAAGGCATGCGATTCTCATAACCCTGAGAGGTGGAACCATCCACCGTGCTTTAAAAAGACTGATGGTAGGAAATGAGACTCAGTCCATAAGAAGTAAAATTAGATTTAAATTCAGGTGTGAGCACAAAGGCTGGTTCTTTGTGGTAGAAGGGCATAGAGCAAACATAGAGTCTGACGTAATAGAGATGAGGCTGTAAGTGAAAAAACAAAACAAAACCCACAGTCTCACTATTGCTTATGCACTTTATAGACTCAAAATGTGTATGTGTATTCCCTCCGGGTTGACCTAAATGTGACGATCTTCTGGGCCAAGGAATGCACGCACATCCAGACTGCCCAGAAAAACCACCTTGCTCATTTGCATGTGTTGACAGTGACAGGAGTGGGCAATGACTGTTTATAAGAACTGTGTGAGTTTCTCAGTGCTTATTTGCTTTATATTTTTGAAATTCTGTTTAGACCTGCTACAACCCTCAGCAGCCACCTATTTTGATCTTTCTACAGAGCATTAAAGTAATTCTAAAAACTAGATACATTTCTGAGTATTCACTCAACTAAAGAATATAACACCTTTTTTTTAGCTTTCTGAAAACAGAAATATTTAACAATTTTAAGACATGGAAAGATGCTGAATTATACTTAAGGCCTCTCATAAACTATAGAGAAATGAAATGTTGAAAGGGCAAAAGAAAGTTGAAGGGAAGAAGATGAAGAACAATGAAAAAGAATCGCAGGTGAAATGAAAGAAGGATTAACATGATAGAACCATGGTACTGGGATAGTCACTACATTATACCCGAGGTGGAATAGCATGACAGAGGACCCATGGAATACCACTGGGCCCTGCGTGGCAGGATGCCAGGGACAAGACACACATACTGAAGACACACACTGCTGCCACTAAGAAAGGCTCTCCCAGCCCCTCACTCAGTATGTGCCACACTTATTCTCTTCACAGAGTTGCATGCAGAAAAACCTATAGAGAAGACATATGAAGACACAACACAAAGATGGCTTGTACATCAATGGTGCCAACATTAAATTGCTGATGCAATCCACCTGGAAACAAGCCACCCTTCTTTTTCTAATGTATGTCCACATTGTGACTCAGTCTCACGACAAACTGGAATTCATTCATTCATTCAACAAAAATGTACTGGGTGTTTCCTATGTATCAGGTACTGTTTCAGACAATGCGGACACTGTAGTGAGAGGAGAGAAAAATCCATGCTCTTTGGGGCTTACTTTCTGGGAAGAGCAAGAAAGATATAAACAAACTCTATTAGAGAAATGCTACAGAGAAAAATAAGTCAGTGAATAGGGATAGGGAATGTCCTGGGGGAGTGGGAGGGTACAATTTTAAATAGAGTCATGAGAGAAGGCCTCCTTGAGAAGGTAACTTTGGGATTAAAACAAAACAAAACAAAAACCCTGCCCTAACTGGAGGGAGGGAGGAAGGAGGGAGGGCGGGCTCCATGGAGAATTATGTGGGGGAAGAGCTCTCCAGGCAGCAGGTACAGAGGCCCTGAAGCAGGAGCATGTCAGATGGTTCCAGAAATAGAAAGAGGACCAGTGTGGCTGGAGCAGCGTGAGTGAGGGAAGCATGGTAGGAGCTGAGGACGGAGAGGAGGTGAGTGGACAGACAGATGAGGCAGAGCTGCATAGGCCAATCCAAAGTCTCTGGTTTTTACTCTGAAAGGGGAACCCCCTGGGAAGTTTAGAGCAGAGACTTGACCTGGTGTGAAATATGTTGGGACTACACTGAGGCTGGCACAGGTGGAAGCAGGGAGGCTAGTTAGAAGGCTGTTACAATAATCACAGCAAAAAAAAAAAAAGAGGTAGCTTACACCAAGATGGGATGTCAGTGAAGGTGGGGAGAAGTGGTAAGATTCTGGATATATACATGGAAGAGCCAACACATCAGCTGTATTGCATGAGAGAAAGAGAGAGTCAAGAATAACTACAAGACTTTTTACTTGAACTACTAGAGGAATGAGCTGCCATGTACTGAGATGGGGAAGCCTTGAGTAGTTCAAGGAAGAAAATCAAAAGTTTGGATGAGGACAGACATCAACTGGAGGTGTGGGATGGGCAGAGATACACATCTGGAGTTCTGAGAGATCCAGATTGAGATAAGCACAAGGTTTGAAGCCGAGAAACTGGACCAAGGGAGTTAAGTATAGAGAAAAAAGGGAAGAGTTCTGAGGACTGAGTCCTAGAGCTCTTCAATATGTAGAGCTCAAGAAGATGAAGAAGAACCTGAAAATAAATGGCTTGCAAAATGATGGCAACAAATTAGGACAAATTACTCATAAAGAACATGTTATAGCTTGAACTTGGACAGCATCCTCATACCACACATTGCTCTTACTCTACTGATACATATTCAAAACAATTCTTTATTCATTTAGTATTTGCAACGCCCATCAAGAACTCACGGGAACAGACCCTGGCTGGTGTGGCTCAGTTGGTTGGAGTGTCTTTCTGTACACTGAAAGGTCTCGGGTTTGATTCCTGGTTAGGGCACATGCCTATGTTTTGGGCTTGATCCCTGGCCCCAGCGTTTGCCACTTATACCCAGAAAACTATATTTGTTCTTAAGAGTTTATTAGTTTCATTAAGTGATCAGAAAAGAATTAGATTGTCTTTACTATGAAATATCCTACATAATAAAAGGCTAATCTGCAAATCGACCAAACGGCAGAACGACCGGTCGCTATGATGTGTACTGACCACCAGAGGGCAGATGCTCAAGGCAGGAGCTTCCCCCTGGTGGTCAGTGCATTCCCATAGGCGGGGGGAGCACTGCTCAGCCAGATGCCAGGCTCATGGCTGGCGAGCACAGTGGTGGTGGCGGGAGCCTCTCCCACCTCTGCAGCAATGCTAAGGATGTCCGACTGATGGCTTAGGCCCGCTCCCCATGGCGGGCCTAAGCCATCAGTTGGACATCCCTCGAGGACTCCTGGACTGTGAGAGGGCACAGGCCGGGCTGAGGGACCCCCCCCCCGCCCCCGAAATGGACAAATTTTGGGCCTCTAGTATAAAAATAAAATGCAATAAATGTTATTTAAAAAAATTAAGATCTGTAAGAATCACAGATGTGATTACACAGGGTTCAGTTAGTAATGACTAACAAGTTTCTTTTGAGGCTAGATAAAAGAATGAATGCTCTTTGGGAGAAAATGAAGAAGGAGGTGTTGGAACAAGTAAAAAAAAGAATGGTGCTGAAAGTATATCCTATATAATAAAAGCCTAATATGCAAATTGTCCCCTCAGGTGGTTGTTCAACTGGGAATCCGACTGGGAGACCAGGAGTTAGACTGCTTGCTATAACATGCGCTGACCACCAGGGGGCAGCACGGTCGGCCTTGACACAACACTGGCAGCAGGTGGCAGTGAAGTGCTACTGGCCCTAATGGGCCCCGACGAAAGTGGGACCATGGCAGGATGGTGGAGCAGGTGAGCGGGCAGCACCAGGCCAAGGCAGGTGTGAGCTGGGGCCCCGATCACCCGGCCGATTGCCCCACAGACTGTGACCAGTGGCAGTGGCAGCGGAGGGGGGAGGGGGGCGGGGCTGCTGCTGAGGGAGCTGGGTGGGGGGCCCCTGGCCCCAATCGATTCCCCTGCAGACAGGATGGTGGAGCAGGTGAGGGGGCGACGCCAGGCTAAGGCAGAGTGCCAGATGGGGCTGCGGGTTTGAGAGGCTGGGGGCGCAAGCTGGGGCCTGATCTCTGCAGGCCACCCTGAAAAATCCCACCCATGCATGAATTCGTGTACCGGGCCTCTAGTTAGTCTAATAAGAGGAAAGATTGAAGAATCTTCTTTTTAAAATTTATTTTTTAAAAGAGAGAAGAAGGGAGGGGAGAGAGAGAGAGAGAGAGAGAGAGAGAGAGAGAGAGAGAGAAACATTGTTTTATTGTTCCACTTATTGGTTGATTATTGTATGTGCCTTGACCGGGGATTGAACCTGAAATCTTGGCATATGGGGACCACACTGACCACTTGAGCTACCTGGCCAGGGCTGAAGAATCTTCTTAAAGGGAAATTATAATAATAATTATAACCCTAATGTTAAAGGTGAAAGACTTAATTTAAGTTTTCTCTCCTCTTGTCCTTTTTGGGTGAAAAATGCTAGGAAAACCCAAAAAGCATTTGAGGAAGGAAATTGGTTAGATTATGGTACCAGATAACAATGTAGAGTACTATTTAGCCACTAAAAGTCATAATTTAGAAGCATATTTAATAACTCAGAAAATGTTTATAGTATATTGTGAAAAGAAAAGAGATTGCAGAACTATATGCAAAATACCTCAATTTTTAAAAATCTATATCCATTGAAAAACAACTTCAAGTAATAGAATAATTGATGGTATAGTAATAAGTGATTTTCATTTTCTTCTGGGTGCTTTTTAAAAATTCCCAAATTTTCTACAAAATGAATAAGTATGTTTGTAAGAAAACAAAATCGGGGAGCTGCTAAAAGGTTGGTGGACCTCAAAGCCCAGCGAATGAAATCAAAGCAATTTCATCTAGTGCTCCTGTCAGAAGCTAAGGCCACTGCAGCGAAGTTCTGCAAGGGACAGGAAAGGCTTTTCTTTGGTTAGGTTTGGTAATCACAAAACCAGTAAGAAGAGAAGAAGTTGAAAAAAGTCTGGTTAGAAACCACAAAATATTAATATATTATTAAATTGTCAAAAATTTTAAGAGCACTACTCAAAAGGATGTGGGAAAATATCATATATATTCTTATATACTATATACATATACATTTTTAGTGGTGATGCATAATAGCACAACCCTTTTTTAAAGCAATTTAGCAATATGGATGAAGAAATATAAAACGTGCATGTTCAAAATGATACAGCCACTGAGAAAACAGTTTGGCAGTTTCTTAGAAAACTAAGCATACAACTACCATTTGACCCAACAATTGCTCTCTTGAGCATTAATCCCAGAGAAATAAAAACTTATGTGTACACAAAAACCTGTACATGTGTGTTCATAGCAGCTTTATTCATAATAGCCCACATGTCCTTCAAAGTGCAGTTAAACCAACCATGGATACTCATCAATAAAAGGAACAAATTAATGATAAACACAACTTGGATAATCTCCGGGGAATTATGCTCAGTAAAAAAAAAGTCACATAATGTATGATTCCATTTTTGAATGATTTCCACTTTTGAAATAATACAAGTATAAAAATAGAGAACAGATTAGTGGTTGCCGGGATGGGTGGGAGTGAGGAAGGTGTGGCTATAAAAGGGCAACAGGAGGGGTCCTTATGGTGATGGAAGTGTCTTGTATTTTGACTGTATCAGTGTTACTTTCCTTTTAAATCCTCATCCAAGGATATGAGTATTAATGAGAGAGAGAGAGAGAGAGAGAGAGAGAGAGAAAGAAACATGGATTGGTTGCCTCCTATATACCCCTGTGGGGATGGAACCCACAACCTGGGTAGGTGCCCTGACCAGGAATAGAAAAGGGTGCTTGAGATATCTGCATTATTTATTACAACTGCACGTGTGTCTACAATGATCTCTACATTAAAAAAAAATTACTGAAGAAAAAAAGTACATCATTTGGCCAGTTATCACCAGTCTAGAAATGTCATCCTAGGGATATAATCCAAAAGAAGAAAAAACGTTAAACGCACCAGATGTTCACTACAGCGTGTTTACAACAGGGACCTAAGTGTCCCAACAGGAAAACAGGCAAATCATGACATAGCCACCTGAGAATGACCGTCTTCTGATAGAGCAACCAAGAAATGTTTGAAAAGGGAGGATTCAAAACTGTAGCGCAATAGGACAGCTGTGTGAAGGAGTCAGGGACACGCTGCAAAGGTTTAATAGTATTCCATGGGGGGTGTTTTTCCTTGCCTCACTTTGCCTAATGTTTCATGGTTTTTGCATGGTGGGGGTGGGGGAAATAACAGCAAAGGATATTCTTCATGTTAAACTACAAATGCCGAGTCACAGTAAGAGTCCTTTAAATCCGTGCCTTCCAGTAGCGCAAACTTGGATTTTCGGGCTCCAGGCTTGGACCCGGCGCCCCCGCCCAGGTCTCGGAGGGTCTGCGCAGCGGCTCGAGCGGGCACCGCAGCCTCACGCAGGACCCCCCGGGAGTCCATG